GCTTCCACCGAAGCAAGAAGATTCCGATCTCGGTGATGGTGATAATATTCTGGCTTCCAAGGTGACCGAAATATTACCACCAAGACCGAGATCTAGAATCATCTTCTCCCTGTGAAGGCAAACCCCCTGTGTTGGTGTTGGTGCCCATTTCCAGGCCGCCAACATTATTGTCAGGCTCCTGCTTCTCGGGCTTGACGGCAGACGAGTGAAGCTGGTCGGCGAGCTGCTTGTGTTCTGAGTCATCTTTCTCGAGCTCGTCGCAAGGCTCGTGGACTTGAGCCTCTAGCCGGGTGACCCACTTCCTCCAGCTGACTCCAGCTGTTGGTCTTCGGTAAGGCTGCGCTGAGCCTTGTCTCGCCGGCGACGATCTTGCGGTGCGCGGCGTTGGCCTGCTGCTGAAGAGGACGCGGTGCAGGTTCAGCCTCGGCTGTCTGCTTGCGCTTGAGCGCGATCTGGTACTTGAGCACAGAGGCGCGGTCATCCATCTTCTCACCAAGCTTGATGAGGTACTCGAGTTCCTCGATCGACAGCTTAGCTGTTCCCTCGGGAACCATCAGGAGCAACCCGACCTGCAGGGGCTGGTTGGCTGCTGTCGACCACCTCGCCATTGCCTCCTGCAGCCTCTGGTGCTGCATCGCCAGGCGAGAGCCGTCGGGGGGCGCCACAGTGCTTGCTGTACCAGTATATGTCAAGACTCTTCTTGCACTTGCAGCTGCTGCGCTGCCAGGTGCTGTGCTGCTTGTTTCCGTAGCCTCCAGACTGGCCCGACCACCAGCACCTGGAAGCGTCCGTCCCCCGTGTTGCCAGGGCTGCCTGAGCCACACTAGCTCCAGGAGGCATACTGCTTCCTCTTCGCAGGCGCACGGGCAATCCGATGTGAATGGCCCGCTCGTGCTGTGTGCTTGTGCCCTTCTGAAGTGTGCGCAGGCAAGCAGGGGTGGCCGCTCCGGCCTTCTCCTCAGCCAGAACGGCGAGGGGGAGGGGGAGGAGGAAGAGGGGGGGATGATGTGGAGAAACGATGTTTTCTCTGCTCTCCGCTCGCGCTCTGTCGCCCCCGTCTCGCTGCCGTCTCGCGGACGTCCCGCTTGTCCCCTTGTTCCCCGTGCGCTGCCGCATGCCCTCTGTGGTGTTGGATGTCGTCGAGTTGCTGCGCAATCGGCAGCCGAGCAAACATGAGGATGAAGAGGAGAAGGGCGATGAGGGAGGATGAAGAGGACGATGAGGGGCATGTGGAGAAGGAGGAGGAGGAGGAAGAGGAGGAGGAGGAGGAGGAGGAGGACTAGGAGGAGGAGGATCAGCAGCAGTAGCAGGAGGATGACGGGGAGGAAGTTGGCAGGAGGAGGGAGGAAGGAGGAATGAGCAGGTCGCTGCATGGTCGGTTGAACGCGAGGCGTCTCGGTCGTCATTTTCATCTTCTTCTTCTTCTTCTTCTCCGTTGTCCTCCTTCTCTTCCTCTTCATGTGCTCACCTTCAACAGTGATGCCCGCCTAGCCTGCGACCTTGTGCCTATCGTCGCCGTGTTGCGGTCTTTATCTCGTGGCTCGTCGTATTGTCGTCGCCAACGTCGAAGTCCTTCTCGTTGTCGGCGTCATACTCCCTCTACACATGTGCCGTCCTCTTCGCTGATTTCCTCGTTCCCGCACCCTGTTGCCATCGTCGTCGTCATCCTCCTCCCTCCCCCCCTTACCTCGTCTACCCAAACGCGCAATCTACATGGCCGTAGCCCTGTGAGGAAAGTAGAAGCGGCGACGTCGACGTAGAGCACGATCCTCATATTCCAGCCGCAGCCGCTGGCGGCTTGGCTGCGTACGTGCTGAGTTCGTGTAGTTTTTTTTCCGAAACTTTCGCGCCAGTCTGAGGCTTCATCTGTTAGAGTCAGCAGCGCGTAATTGCACAGGCGCTGGCTTGAACAGGTTGTGGCAAGGCGCAGTCTTTCATTGCGCGTATTGTGAGTGCTGTGTTGCAGTGCTTCCCGTTCCAGGTTGATAAATTACATTTCACGCTCTCCAGAGGGATCTCGTCCACGTCCCATTTGCTGGTGTCATCCTCTGTCCCCCTTTCTCTATGCGTCGTCCCCCCTTCTCCGCCGCTCTCTTTCCCTCCACCATTTGTCTGGCCCCAGCCTCTTCACTGCAGTAGCCATGCTGCGAGATGGCCCCCCGTGGCCTCTAAGCAGCAGCCTCCAGCCGGCCTCCATCAGGAATTGGCTTTGACTCATCCACCGCGTCCTTGAAAGCTTCGTCGCGACGCGAGCCAAGCCGCCGCAAGTGTGGGCGCTGGATGCCAGCACCAACAATCTGCCTTGCAGCAGCAGCGCTCCTCCCACACAGCCCCGACGCCGTTCTCCCTGCCGAGGACCGGCTTTTCTTCCCGGGTCCTTCTTTGACGGCCCCGAGGCCTGCGGAGGGCCCCCGGAGGCCGAACATTGCCCAGAGCCGTCCGTCGTGACTCTTGCACCACGCGGGGAGGAGGAGGAGGAGGAGGAGGAGGAGGAGATGAAGGAAGGAGAGGAGGAGGAGGAGGAGGAGAGGGAGGAAGGAGGAGAGAGGAGGAGGAGGAGGAGGAGCATGAGGAGGAGGAGGAGGAGGGAGGAGGGAGGGATAGGGAAGGTCGGAGGCGGGGAGGTGAGAGAGGAGGAGGCGGAGGAGGGGAGGAGGAGGAGGAGGCGCTCGAGGAGGAGGGATGGAGGAGGAGGAGGTCGGAGGAGGAGGAGGAGGAGGACCCCGCTGGCGGTGTCCAGCGCGAGCTCCTCGCCGTGCCTGTCCTCCCTCCTGTGCGCCGTGCCGTTCCGCGGCTCTCTCTGCCGTACAGTCTGCCGCCTGGCCGGCCAGGGTGAGCACGGGGAGCCTCCTCCTCCTCCTCCTCCTCCTCCGTGTCCTTCTCCCTCCTCGTCCTGCTCCCTCCTCCTCCTCCTCCTCATCCTCCGTCCATCTCCTCCTCCTCCGTCCATCTCCCTCCTCGTCCTTATCCCTTCTCCTTCTCCTCCTCCTCCTCCTCCTCCTCCTCCTCCTCCTCGTCCTCCTCCTCGCTCCCGCGCCCCGATTGAATGAAAGAGCCGCTCGCGACTCCGTCGTCGCGGACGGCACCGTCCTGGCCAACCTGGTCAGCAATGGTGCGCCCCGCCCGCCGCCGCCCGACGAGGCGCGCCCGTGCTGGGGGTAGGAAGGAGTAGGGGTCCCGCCTGGTACGCTGGGCTCCTCGTCCTCCTCCTCCTCCTCCTCCTCCTCCCTCCTGCCGTGGCTTCGCAGAGTGGCGAAGTCCGTCCATCCTCGGAGGCCCCACGGGCTCCTCGCGTCTCGAGCTTCGGCGGCATTCTCCGCGCCATCCAATACCCCTGCTGGTCGCCTCGACTTGTTCGAGCTGCCAGATGTCCTTGGAGGACGAGGAGGGCTAGGCTTTCGGGCCATCACTCGGACCGCCATCGGCCGTTCGGGACGATGCCAGCCCCCCCAGAGCGCTCTAGACGTGGCGCAGCTTCTGGAAAGCCCCCTGAGGCTGGCTGACCTCTGGGCACCAACGGAAACGCCTGAAGACCTCGAGCCTCGAGCTGCCTGCGGCGCCGCAGACGAAGCAGCGGAGGCCGCCGCAACGCCAGCTGCGGCTCTGCCGGCACGCCCCGTCGCTGGCGCTGCGGCGCCAGCATCTGGGGCGAGTCCCGTCTTCGCGGCGCTCTGGGGCACGGCCGCTCCGTTGCGGCCCCGGCCAGGCGAAGGTCCAGAACGGCCCCCAATGCTGGACACTCTCGACGAGAACGGCTGAGGAGGAGGACCAAAACAAACGCAAAGTGCATCAACGATGCTGCAATACACCCTCCCGTCCCACGTCCCCCTTGAAAGACCAGCGCCGGCTAGGTCTGCCATTCAGACTGCCTCGCACCTATCTTGAGAATCTTGAGTAAGGTGGAACGGTATGAATCGCCACGAGGGAAACGGGTCCTGAGGGAAACAGGGCCTGGCTTGTTTCGCTATTTATGGTGTCCCTGTGCCCTCTCCCCTCTCCGAGGGACGTCAAAAAGGCCAGCGGGTTCACAATCCGTCCCTGGGGAAACGCGCTGGGATCCAGGACCCGCTTCCGTCAGGACCCATTTTCTTTATTACGAGGGAGGGGGAGGAAGGGGAAGCGAAGGAGGCGAAGGAGGAGCGAAGGAGGCGCTGGAACAGGAGGAGGTGGAGGAGAGGCATAAGGACCTCCAGCGATTTCAAATACAGACATCTCGAGACTAATCAAGGTGATATTCGACGTTGAGAACAATGAATATCATGCTGGTAGTGGTGGTGATGATGATGATGAGGATGAGGATGAGGATGATGATGCTGCTGATGATGATGAGTATGATGATGATGGGTGTGGTGTTTACGATGCTGATGATGATGATGATGATCATAGTCGTGAAGATAATGCTGATGTTGATGCTGCTGCTGATGGTGGGATGATTGCAATGCTGATGGTGGTGGTGATTATGACTCAGCTGCTGCTGATGACGCTTACTATGTTTATTCGCATTTTCATCGTTGTTTGTTCTTGTTCTCATCGTGCTGCTGATGGTGGTGGTGGTGGTGGATGATGGTGGCGAGGAGGATTCGCGTTTTGATGATGACGATGATGACTGTGGTGGTTATGATGAGATCATTGCGATGCGGGTGATTCGGATGGTGAGGGACATGTTGATAATGATGATGGTGATGCTGATGATGCTAGTATTATGATTCTGCTGCTAATGCTGATGATGAGGATGATGGGGATGGTGGGGAGGATAATGATGACGACGAAAATGAAGATGATGCTGATGATGATGCTGATGATATTGATGATGGTGGTGGTGATGAGGCTGATGATGAAGTACTGCTGCTGCTGCTGATGATGATGATGATGATGATGATGATGAGGATGATGATGGTGGCGACGACGAGGAGGAGGAGGAGGGGAGGTGGCGGGGAGTAGGGGGATAGGGGGATGGGTGAGGCGGGGAGAATGCCATTGGGGAGAAGCCCCGTCGCGAGGAGAGTGCAGCACTTGTCCGTTCTGCTCACCGGAGGGCCTGCGCTCAAGGCCTTGGGTCGTCATCCCCTTTTACCA